TTTTTTAGAGTCTAAATCTTAAAATTCTAAACCCTATCGGTGTAAATGATAACCGCATAATTTCTGCTGAATTTATGCTGAATTACAGAATTTGCTGAATTTCTGTTAAATTGCAGAATTTGCAGAATTTGCAAATTTGCTGAATAAATGGTAACTTAAATGGTAACTGCGGAATTTGCAGAATTTGTTGAATCTGTTGAATTTGTTGAATGTGTGTTACCATTTAGTGCCTTAATTTTAATAAATTTGGAATATATATTAGCACCAAAATATAAACAAGAGATATTGACACAAATTATTATTGGGACGAGTACAACGGAACAAATGATGTACTCAGAAGATTAGAAACCTTTTATTAAGACATATAGAGGTTTTGCCTTCAACAAAGTAACACCAAAGACATATTGTTCATGTTTAGAGCCGGCCAAGAGTTTTAAAACACCACAAATTATAAGACAAAATATAGCCGTTCTGTATTTACATATAGTCCTATTTTTTTAGAAGACCACAAACACATGTTTAATATGTTTGGACTCATGACACTCATGTCCATGTTTTGAACCTTCTGATCAAAGGAATAGAGAAGAGACTACAAACACCAAACACATATTGTTCTAAAAGCCATTGACATCCCCGGACAATTTCTTCATCCCTCTCCAAAACGATATCATCTCGAAATCTTTGCATTTTCACATCGATTTCATGTACCAAGAACCTTTCTAGTTCAAACCTTATAGGATCATCCCACACGCTCGGGTCTTGTTCTATCGACTATCGCCCATCGTTCACAAAACCTATAACAAAAAAAGAAATTAGATTATCGTTAGTCCCACCTTTTCTTTCATGTCTTCCTTTAGATATGAGATTGAGATAACATTAGGAGTTTAATCAAATGCTTATTAAGCGTGTGTTTTTTAAAACGGGGAAAAAAATTTCAAAGGCTTTGGCACAACACTTAAGCGTGAAAAAAAAAACGGAATAGGCCCATTTAAGGCCCATTATATATATTCCTAGAAATTAGTGGCGAAGCAAAGAGTTGTGGAACCGGCGAAGAAGATCGATCGGAGAAAACGAACGGCGACGAAATTTATGGCGAACGTTGAATCGGAAGCAGTCGATTTCGAGCCTGAGGAAGACGACACAGTTGAATCCGCCGATGTTTCTCCACGCGCGGGACTTCCCAGGTTGAGATCTGCGGCTATCGCCGGAGCAAATGATGAATCAGCCCAGAAGAAGAAGAAGGAGACAAACCCTAGTTCTTGTGTAGACAATCAGAGAGAGATTGCACAAGAAGCTAACATTGATGTTAAGGTATCGAAGATCAAGGACATACGAAACTATCTCTGCAAGTATTGTGGAATCATGAGATCGAAAAAGTATCTCATCACTTCACTCATCAATTCTCATCATCAGGTTTTTGAATATCTATCATCACAAAAAGGTGAGGCCTTTTGTTTGATCAAGACCTAAATCGTGTACTGATTCATTTTTTGTTTGTTTTAGATGGAAGTTGAAGAGGAAAGAGATGATGAAGCTTGTGAGGTTGAAGAAGAGGTCTCTGGTAAACATACTTGCCATGAATGTGACGCTGAGTTTAAGAAACCTTCTCACTTGAAGCAGCATATGCAGAGCCATTCGCTCGAGGTTTGATTTATGCATCCTCTTCAGTTACTCGAATGGTTCTTGTTCTGTTGATTGAATCCTTGTGAAAATCTAATGGAGATGCATAGAGATATTCGTGGGTTTGCTTAGTTTTGGGAGACCTCCTGAGAAGCTCCAGCAAGTAAGCCTCGATCACGCATAAGGTTTGAGGACTGATGAATCAATAGCTTGTTTTGCTGTTCTATTCTTCGGATTTTGTGTCTTCCTTTTGATATTTTTGTGATGGTTTTCATGTGCTCACCGTGCAGAGATCTTTTGCGTGCTACGTGGATGATTGTGTTGCTAGCTATAGGAGAAAGGATCATCTCAATAGGCATGTTCTTACTCATAAAGGAAAGATCTTTAAGTGTCCAGTGGAGAATTGCAAGAGTCAATTCTCAGTACATGGCAATGTCGGTAGGCATGTTAAGAAATTCCATAGTAAGGGTGATAATAGTAAGGACGATTCTGGTAAGGACGATATTGGTAACGGAGATTCTCAACCCGTGGGATGTTCAAGTGGTCAGAAGCAGCTTGTATGCAAAGAAATTGGCTGTGGAAAGGCCTTTAAGTATGCTTCACAGCTGCAAAAGCATCAGGATTCTCATGGTAAGTACACTTTTCTACTGTCTACAGGGCACTACTTCTCTTTCACTCTAATTTATGAACCCGAGCATTTATGGAGACTGCTTAGTAGCTCTGAGCTTTTTTACATATGAAAATCGTTGTTAACTATACATTTATATATCTGCCAATTTTGCGGTTTCTAAAGGTTACTTAAGGATTTACATTTTTAGTGAAATTGGACTCGGTGGAGGCATTTTGCTCTGAAACTGGGTGTATGAAGTACTTTACAAACAAGGAGTGTCTCAAGGAACACATAAAATCCTGCCATCAGCAACTGTGAGATATGTGGTTCTAAGCATTTGAAGAAGAACATCAAGAGACATCTATGGACTCATGCCGAAGATTCCTCACCTGGAGAATTCAAGTGTGAAGTTGAGGGTTGCTCTTCAACATTCTCAAAGGTAAAGAAACATCCAGAGCTACGAAAACTTTTAGCCGAAGTCACAGATTAATATCTTTAGTTACACATTACCATGATGATTTCACAGGCTTCTAATCTTCAGAAACACGTGAAAGCAGTGCACGAGGATATCTGTCCCTTTGTCTGTGGATTTCCAGGTTGTGGCATGAGATTTGCTTACAAACATGTCAGAAACAACCACGAGAATTCCGGGCGCCACATATATACCTGCGTAAGTTCAATCCCCAAACTTGTTTTTGCTACAAACTGAAAAAGACTAAAGATAGAATCTCACATAAGATTGAATGGTGGTTTCAGGGTGATTTTGTTGAAACAGATGCTGATTTCAGTTCAAGACCAAGAGGTGGAGTAAAGCGAAAACAAGTTACCGCGGATATGCTGATCCAGAGGACGAACTCAAGACTTGCTAGTTTTTTTACTTGCCTTAAATTTTGTTAATGTTTTAAGATAGAGAATACCAAAGTAGTAGAGAATACCAAAAGTAAGGCTTTTGTGTGCAATTATCTTTGTTTGTGTGTCGGTAGAAGAAAACGACAATAGTAATTAGTAAAATGTAAAATTTTGTTCCTAATCTAAAAGCTTGAAGAACTAGTTTCGATTTCACTTTTTTCTTACCAACTTTTGGAACCCAACATGTGAAAGATAAGCTTTAGGTTGAATATATAGACACTCCACTCTCAACATGGTCTCGTTGCTTTGAACAAACTCAACCTAATGTGTAACTCTTTTGATCTTTATATGTGATCTCTAAATATCCTTTTTGTTAAGTTATTAGACACAAAATAGAAATTAGTTGACTAAGAACACTTTAATACCCACAATGGGTAATAACTGGGCTTTAGTTAACTAATTATTGGGTCTTGTAACTGAATTTAAACCCAATACAAGCCCATTAATGCCTAATCTTATTCCTATAAACCTCAAGCAGAAATATCTAGAGAGAAAAAAACTCCTCTCGTCCCCTAAAAGCAAAGAGGTGTGTGGCGGTGAATAGATCGATCGGAGAAAACGAACGGCGGCGAGAGTTATGGCGAACATAGAATCTGAAGCAGTCGATTTCGAGCCTGAGGAAGATGACCTTATGGACGAAGATGGTGGAGCAATTGACGCAGCCGATGTTTCTCCACGAGCTGGACTTCCGAGGCTTAGGTCAGCTATTGCCGGAGCAAATGGTGAATCAACTCAGAAGAAAACCAAAGGCCGTGGGTTCCGAGAGGAGAGAGATTCCGATCGCCAGCGCCGTCTTTCTTCTCGTGATTTCGAATCACTTGGTTCCGATGGTGGTGCTGGTCCCCAACGATGTAATTTCTCTCAAATCTCTCTCTCTCTCAGTTTTACGCTCATTCCAGTTTGTAACATGAGCTTGCTTGATTTGTTGCTTCGTGGATTGATTTTTGTTAGTGATTTGTTCTAGGGTTTCTCAAAAAACACCCTTATGTCTGGGATTCAATTTGACCTAGAAATTTTGTTTGTATAGATTTGAGCTAAATTGGACTGTAGTGTGTGAGGAATGAAAACTCTTTTTGTAATCAGATCTTAGAGTATACATTGGTTATGACTTTGCTGGTAATGAGAATTTTGGGAACTGTTGTGTATGATTTTTGTTGTTTGTGTTTATGTGTAGCCATTGAAGGATGGATTATTTTGGTCACTGGAGTTCATGAGGAAGCACAGGAGGATGATATATCGAATGCTTTTGGTGATTTTGGGGAGATCAAGAGTTTACATCTGAATCTTGATCGCCGTACTGGTTTTGTCAAGGTATGGAGTTTCTCCTTTGTTTACTAGTCGCTCGTGATGGTTTAATTGACTTTGCATTTGATATAAAGCTAAGTTTTTTTGCTACATTATATTGCTGTTATGGTGGATTTTGAAGATGTGATATTCCTTAGAGTACTGTTTTGTCTCAGATGACACTCTTCTTTAACATACTTCAATGTTTTAAATGAATATAATGCTGAGTATTAGTAATGGAGAGTGGAAAATAATAAGCAAACCTTTTGCGGTGTTAGACTGTGTTATGTTAGATGTATAAGATGTGATATTCTTTAGAGTGCAATACTGCTTTGTCTCAGATGACACTCTTCTTTAACGTACTTTAATGTGTTAAATGAACATAATGTTGAGTATCAGAAATGGAGAGTGGGAAATAATAAGCTAACCTTTTTGATCCTACACTGCTGTTATGGTAGATGTAATATTCTGCAAGGTGCAATACTGTTTTAACCCTGATGGCTCTCCTCTTTAACATACTTTCTTGTGTTAATCAATTTATCTCGTTGAGTATGAGAAATGACGAACGGTAATGATAAGCTGTGTTTTAAAATGGGAGTTTACGAGTCTATCTTTTTTGTTCTTCAGTTTTTGTAAATAGCTTATGGAAGTTGTATTTATTTTACCCACTTTGTTTTGTCTTCTTGTTTTAGGGTTATGCGTTGATAGAATATGAGAAGAGTGAAGAAGCACAGAATGCGATTACATCTATGAATGGTGCTGAGCTTCTTACACGGAATGTCAGCGTTGACTGGGCTTTCAGCAATGGACCTAGTTTTGGATCTTACAGGAGAAAGAACAGGTTTGTATCCTAATCTCTCTTTTTGTTTCGCGATCATGACCAAGTTGTACAACCTGAGTGTTGATGCACATGTGAGAGTATAGGCTTTAGAATTTAGAGTTAAAGATCTCTTTAACCATTACCAAACTTTTCTCTATCTTTATATTAATGAATCACAAGTTGACTTCTCGTGTCCTTTTACTTTTATTGTTTGCATTATTCATATCATCCTTTGATCTTTGGTTCTTCTTGGTTGTTTTTGCAGGTCTGTGAGGACGCAACGTTCAAGAAGCCCGCGAAGACGTTACTGATTGTATGATTTGGTTTGAGAGCTGTTGTTTCACTTCTCTCTCTCTCTCGAGTATTTCGGATTCTCTCTTTATCTGTAAGGTACTGATAAATCGCGAGTGTTTCGACTCTTTTTTCTTTCTTGCTGGGTTATGTAGGTCTGATTGCTTTTATGTTGTTTTAATCTTGTTGCGTCAACACCATGAGATCTGTTTTAATGCTTCTGGTTTGGGAGAAAAAAACACAAACAATGGATGATGAAGATGCTTTAGTTTCATTTATTCTTTAGTGAAAGAATTTAAAATCTACTAAAGAAAGTGAAGAAACCAAAATTTGAAAAATTGATGATTCTAATAAAAGTTTGCTAATTTGTTTTACTTTTTTCAGTGAATATTCAATATTTACGGAAATTTTCAATTCAATCTCATTCCTATGTAAGTTAGCAGAAGTCATCAAAGGTTGATGATTAGAGTCGTACTTTGCTTCTTACTCACAAGATGCATGATTTATCGTACGGATTCAATCATCTATATTTTGTGCACCATACCAATTGTATTATATGTATCTACATATCAACCATAAATAATAATAAAAAGCAATGTTACATTCAAATAAAACTTAAATATAATATAGCTGAATTTTCTTTCTTTTGTACTCTCTTTAATTTTGAGTTGCAAAACCGTTGGAACAATCATGTAAAGTTGTTGCTTTTTTCTGTCTTTGTAAAATAGGATTGTGCACTAAAGAGCTTTTAGGGTTTTGAATAAGAGACCATACCTTATAGATTCAGTTGGAATTTAGAATCTGTGTTTCTATCTCTTTTCTGGAAATCTTTCATTCACTTTTTATATTAAAATCTCCAATCGTAACATATCTACCAAAACTTTGTGGAGTGTTAGCTACCTTTTTTTTTTCTTTCATCTGAAGAAACCAAGAAAACAATACACTATTAGATATGTACTTTAACAAGTAATTTTATGCTAATTTCTAAAAAAATGCTTTAAAATATAGGTTTAGAGCTAGCTAAAGATAAACCATAAAATCATGAAGATAATAAATGGATAGACCAAAATGAAATAAATAATGAACCATACTAATATAAATAACTATATCGGTGCCAACCACCGCACATTTAATTCCTTTTTCCTCTTTCATTTAACACCTGTGAGGACTCGTTGTGACTTGTGAGCTTCTCTCCATTTTTATTTCAAGATATTTCTAAGAAAAGTTATCAGAATTTTATAGATTTCATGAAATTTTTTATTTTGTTCAACA